AAGAAAATTGTAATGCATATGCCATTGTGTTCTGTTTCTGTTTTTTTCCTTCTTTGCTTTATTTTGCTGTTCTTTGCTTTGTTCAGCTCATAGACAGTATAACTTTATGTAATTGTAGAAGATTTATCGAGATAAAATTTCTTAGTACACCATCAGACTTGAGGTTTAAGGCAAAATGTACAAGATTTCATTGCATTTTTATCAACAATATTAACCCTAGTCGGACCAGGATGGCCCTCGAGGCTCGGTTGAACTTCGAGCTTAAATATTTTGATTATTTCACATTGCATTTCCAAACATTTTTTTTATCTTATTTCAAATCAATAATTAACGCATTTCAATCAATTTCAAATTTTAGAACTAGTCAAAAGTAACTATTTTCGTTTTCCTAACGAAATTTGTCACAATGAAGTTTTAACATGCTTACAATCCGAAAAGAATTCGGCATCGAGTACAGAAAAGACCCAGTCAATCCAGAATTTTTGGTAGAGATACGTTGAAGAGAGAATTGGAAATTATTGCACGCAAGTTTGTGTTGAAAATTGGCTAATTCGATCGGAGGACACGCTTGCAATGCAACATAAACTGAGAATACTTCTGGTTTTTATGTTTTTTGGTCATATCCGATCAATTACAGCGGACACATGATAAATATTTCCATGTGAATTCTACAAAAATTGAAATAATCCGTTACATCCTTCTAATACAACGATTAGTTTTGTTAGTTTCCTTTGAGATTAGGATAGTGGATACCACAAATTCTGTCACAACCGAACATTATTTTCTTACTTCCTTTTTTTTTTTTTGAGGAATGTTTTATATTTACGTAGTTTGAAATCAAAAGATATGTGGTCTGTGTATAATGTTTTGTATTTATATACAGCTTGTTTGGATAAATAAACGAATATAAACTATAAACAACTTCCTCTCGAAGATACGGGATATCTCTCTAAGTAGGAGCCTTATTTCATTTTCTATAAGACATAAAACTAATCGGTGGTATATGCCCCGAACACTCAACAAAGTTTGTCATGTGCACAACTTGCATCAACAAATAAATATTTTTTTATCTTTTGAATGTATTTTTTTTATATGTATAGTGTTCGGATAAATAAATTGCGTTAGACTATAAACAGAGACAATAATACTTAAACGTTTCCATGAATCTCATAACCGTCTTGAGGCTCATCGTGATATTGTTTGTTATAAAAACACGTGATCCGGTTAAAACTAAATAAAAATCAAATACAGAGAACTGCCCGTCCAATTTTTATTTCAAGCAATAGTCTATGAGCGACTTCAGTAACATTACTGTTTTGATTGTGCTGTTCACATTACTACATTCTTTTTTTAAGAAAATGTCTATAAATAAGTTTCTTCCTTTATAGTTCTGATATTTTTAAATCATTTAAAGCATTCTACACACACGAGATCAGAGAATTTACAAATATCTGCATTGAATATCTTATGGAGTTTGAATGACAGTATCGATTGATTCACACAAGACTGCTTTTTAGTCTGCCTGCTTGCTTACCGAAGCCAAGACTACGACCACCAGATTTATTTCAAAAGTCACCTACAAAGGCTTACCTAGAAGATGTGAAAATAACAAATTACCTTTTACTGAAATGTATATTATTATTATGTACCTTACAAATGAGAAATTAATATATAAACTCGGGCGTGGCACTTCATTAAGTGCGCGTTCTTAGCGGCTAGACAGCAAATACTTATGTATCAGTCGATATCCCCGTCGATAACTCCTTTTGTAGGAGTTGAACACAAAAAAAAAAAAGAAAAATATTGGTCGAAAATGAAAAGGAATAACGAAACTTCCTGAATATTGCATATAGAATTAAGTATCTGACGAAATATCAGAAATAGAGAAGAAACAAATTCGTCAATTTGAAAATGAAAACGAGAGTATCATTTTGTTTCGCTTTTGGAAAACAACGGAGACGTCTGAATTTTGTACGTAGCTTTACACACTGAAACGACCGTAACTTATAAGGCAATCGTCAAAATATCATGAAATTTTAATACATTTCGTTTGGAAGTTGGTGTTATCTAAAAAACGGTAGGATATTCGTCAGTAGTCGTCCTACGATATTATTGAGTGATGATATAATTTACAGATGTAAACTGTCTACTTTGGCTATGAAAAGGATTTTCGGCTACTACTGTGAGTATATGTTGTGTAGGCCTGGTATAAAAGCCATGTGAATAAAATTGAAATACATGATTCTAGTAAGTCCAAACACGCCTGAATAGGCACATAGATCAAAATGTGCGTTGAAAAATGCAAATCTTGTATTTATGATTAAAAATTGATTATTGAAAATTTTGTAAAGCGTAACGAAACGCTCTTCACCGCCTTTAGGAGCTTCTTTTACGCTATATCTATTTCTTTCTATCTTTTACTTGCGAACGTATCAACGGAAATAATTTCTGATGAGATAAAGTGGTGTTAGAAAATACGAACGAACAATACGTAAATATATGTAATATTTTCTATAAACCTCTTGCATGTCACGTCGTCTAAAAGATTAAAAGAGATAGCAGATAAATATGTAAAGTGAGAATAAACATAATGTAAATAAATACATTTTAAGCCGTGCTGCTGTCGCTGCAACTGCTTTATTTTGCTATTCTCCACGCAACGCATCGCTTTTTCGACAGATAATTAAAAATCCACGACAATCGTTACAACAAAAATGATAGCAATAACAACAACATAGAATTCATTGTATAGAAAACGACGTGAAAGAAAAGAATGATATATATATATATATATATATATATGTAGAGAGGGAAAGAGAGAGAGAGAGAGAGAGAGAGATGAAGAGAGCAAAAACAACAATTGCACCAGCAACAAAACGAACAGATTTTTTCATTCATAAAAGTTGCTTGCGCTCTTCGTACTCGATATAAAAAATCCACAAATTGCATGAGTGCAAACGAGAACAGCAGCAGCGATAGCAACATGTGTCGTAAAGAAAGAGTGGCCACAGAATGGGTTGGGGTGAATTAAGGTAAAGTGCATGAGAACATGTATATGCATTTGAGTATGTGTGCTGCGCGTTTGTATATGTAAAATGTGTCGTAAAAATGTTCAAGCATTGACGCCACTAACATTAACACTTGCGTGAAGCTCCCTCGATCCACTTAAAGGTTGAAGTTTAATGCACCTTATTGTTGTTGCTCTTCTTCCGCTTCTTCGTGTTTTCGTTATGCTTGTACTACTAGGGCACGCATAAATAAGACTTCTTAAAAAGATTTTTAAAATTTAAATTAAGGATTTTAAAGCAACAGGCAGATTACTAATGCCGTGTTGCACATATACTCTTCGTAGCATGGCATAACGTTGTCATACGGATTGCACTTTGCTCTTTATGATTCTTTTTCCGTTTCCCTTTTAATATTTCAATTGCTGTCATTGCTTGTACTGCTCTTTTTCTCTTTTAATTTTTTTTTTTTTTTGCAGTTTAATATTATTTAATAAACTTAATATTATTTAATAACAGTACATGGGTAATAATATTTAGTGTTTCATAGCCTATCTGTTTGTGAAGTATCTTACATTAATCAATCGCCGAGAGTAGACACTCTCGCAACAATATCAGTTCATTTGTGAAAGTACGAAACACGGTCCTAGACAACGTCATTCTACTTAGCTCAGTGTTTTTCCATTTCTCCATTTGTTCTTCACAATTTCGCTATGAAAACAATCGATAGATATTTCTCCTTTTTTCACTTTCCATAGTGTTGTCAAACTCTTAAAAATCGTTTGAAATATGGACGTGGGAAAAATCTGTAGCAAAAGGGCAAATCTTACATACCTACCATTAAATCTCAAACAGCGGACATTTTAATGCTACAATCATATTCGAAGCACGTGCTTTCGTCAGTGATACGTTTAGATAATTCCGAGATTTCTTCTTGTAATGTAAACCAATCATGCCTGGTTGCCTGACAACCGCAAGAGCTACGATATATATCTCGCAGCGAATAAGCATGTGATGTTTGAATAACCTGTGTGTATTTTTGCATGTATTAATAAAAATTTATATGATTTTTATATATGTTTTGTTTCGTGAGCATTATATTTTTTTTCACAAATTTTTTTATATATTATTAGATCAGAAGGAAAAGTTCCCGATATTTAAATCAATTAACGAAATTTGTATTTGATACAATTAAAAGAAAGATGTCCATAGTTTTTAGCCAATTGCTGACGTGTTTCAAATTTCTCCTCTTGTGCTATACCATTTCTAAAAAAAAAAAATACCCTTTGGAAAATTTCAAGAAAAACAAATTCTACCCATAATTTTGCGGAGAAGGCAGGAAGGTTTAGTTATCGTCCCATTATAGCATATAATAGGCTTCGCTTATTTCCTAATATGACGATATGGGAACAAAACATTTTATTTGCGTCAAATTTCATCTCACTCTCGGTATTTTTACGAGTTTGAAAATCGAGCTGACAGAGCTCCGCCCAAATCTTCTCACTGATGCATATTTTTGTGTCATTGCAAACGGATTTAAGAAATGAATATATGCTCAATGTCGAAATGGCAGTATCTTGTCTGGACAACATTTAACCACCGCAACCATAAAAAGAACGTTAACGACGACAATATTAAAACGTTTTAACATCAATTTCTTGGAAACCATTTAAAAGATTTTGGCGCTAGTTTTCTTCTGCTGCTTTTTTTTTCTTTGGGCCTTTGTTATTCCTCTGAATCTTAATTAAGAACAAATGAAACAAACTTTGTTTCTTTAACTTAAAACACAAGGTATGTGTGAAAACAACAAAAACATCAACGTTGCGCCAACAGCAACAACAGACAAAATTCAGACATTCATCATACTTTAATGTCGAAGAATAATAAAAACAATAATAGTAATAATACGAAAAGCAGAAAACGGCAGAAAATTCCATTAAAAAGCTTTTCAGTGATATTACAGCTTTTTTTCTGTTATTGATTTTGTGTATGACGTGTGCAAATGTCTAAGCTGAGGCATTCTCTCCGCAGACTTCTTTACACTGTCTGCATACCAAAGAGCCGGCTTTAGGATTGTGTTGATCATATACGCAGACATGTAAAGCAAAAGCTGGACAAAAAAAAAGTCAGGAAGCAGCCAACAATTGAAATGAGGGTAAAGTAGAAAAGAGTGGAATGGTGAAGTGACGATTGATTAAAATATTTGTCGGTATAGGTACTTTATATATATTCATGTTTATAGAAAAATAAACCATTCCCACCAATGCATCCAAGACAGTCAATTCCTCAATTTTTTTGTCATTGAACTTAATCTAGCTCACTTTCTAGTCAAAAAAACTTTTGCTAAACATGTGTTGGTATTCTTTTAATATTTTCATATATACTGTGCTTGTTATGATGATTTTGGTCTGCGAATGTTGACAAGACAAATCATCTTATAGATTTTAACAATTACTTTCTTTTACATAAAGGCCGAAATCCTTACCTGCTCTTTATGAGCATGCTGTCGCGTTTGTAGCTTTTTGCCAACATCTATTGCTTCTTATACTTAAATACGCTTGCGCCAAAAAAAACCAATAAGAAACCATCTTAGCATCAGTAGTGTACCAATCCTTCTTCTATAAAAAGATCTTTTTTTTGACTTGAGTTGGCTATATCGTCTGTCATTACAACTAAAGAACTTTTAGGCTACTCTTTCTTCTTCCGCGTTTGTGATTTGTTGCCGTTTTAGGTCGTTTCATTTCAAATTTTTTTTTCAATTCTTTCATCTCTCCTTGTTGTCTCGTCTGACAACTTAAAGCTTTGTTGTATATTCTTGGTGTCTAGTTAAACTTAGTATGATGTGTTCTCAAGGGGGCAAACTCATTTTCGCTCTCTCTCTCTCTCTCTCTCTCTCTCTCTCTCTCTCTCTTTCTTTCTTTCTTTCTTTCTCTTTCTCTCACTTTCTCTCTCCCCCCTTTCTCTTCAGATATTTTCAAGTTTAGTGTTTATTTCAAATTCCTGACGATGTTGTTTATGTATTACTTGCTTAGCTGTAATCTTTTTTATTGCTGATCTTGCCTTTTTCAGCATTTTTATTATTCCGGCTCACTGCGGTACAATGTTATAGTAGAGACTGTTACCGAAAAGTATATTGAACCTAAGCAAAGTTTTCTGCTAACTGACTTTGACTGTTTCATTGCTATTCCTCCTCTTTGTTTTTATTATGTGCGTTACTTTAATTTTTTTTTCATTCGGCTGCTTTTTTTTTTGGCGCTATTTTTCCAGGAATTGCTTTTATTTATAAGGTAAACATATTTGTTCTTGTTGTTGTTGTTTTTCATGCCAGTTATTGACTGAAAAATTTTTTTGTAAGTTGTTTCATTGTCGTTATAAGAATTCAAGCGTTTTTGTGTTTCTTACCGAGAACAGCGGTTATACTAAATTCATCAATCCGTTTGCAACATCGAAAATATGTATCAAAGGTGCAACGGGTGTATGTATTTTGTGTGCCTATTCCTAAAGAAAATCTCAATGTCCTCGGTAAGGTAGAAATAGACAAATTCACAAATAAATTTTTTTTCGAATTTACTTAACAAAAGTGGACGCTTTTAATTCCCAGCAGCTAAAAAGGTGAAATAATCTCGAAAACAAACAAAGAAATTTCAATTGATATACGCATTTAGTTCAGTTGAATATTGAAACCAATTTAAAATTTTTGTCAATTATTGTCTGGTTTAGCCTAATAACGTAAAAATTTTGAAATTTCTTTGGATTCTTCTTCAGATATTTTTATATAAAGGCTACTCTTGCGTCGCAATCTGCTGCGTGGTTTGACTATGTTTTGAAAAGATAATATCGATATTTGAAAACTCCCAACAAATGATTATAACGTTTGAGTGAGTATTGTTAAGTTCTTAAGCGTAACTCATTTGATCGACGTAACCGCACTTATTTGTCTTTTGAAGACGTGTTCATATAAACTTGAAGAACTCCAGTAAGTAATCATTTCTAGGAAGTAAAGTCTACTAATAAAAAAAGTCCAGTTATTTTGGTCCATTTCTCGTCCTGTAGAAATTTCTTCCTGCAGTTTGATAAGGCCGTCACAGCTAGCTTCAGTTGACTATTACATAAAAAACGATTTGGTTAACGTATCGTTAAGTGCCAAGTTGAAAAGAAAGTATTTAAAATAGTGATTGAATTATTTTCACTTGACTTCAACTTTTATATCATAAATGCATTTTTTTTTTTTCATTTTTGTTTCCTTGGAATTTTCCATCAAATCATTCGTCGAAAACATTTGTCAGATTCAGTTCAAATTTAAAAAATCCCGTAGAGCATGTTCTGTGATTTTAAGCAATAATTTTATCCGAAATTTTTTTTAACATTTGGTTTTTTATTTTTTAGTCAATTAATAATCGTGTTTTTTGTAATAATTCAGACTTCGGCCAGCATCAAAATTCTAAACCTCGAAATAGAGTTTTTTTGTTCTCTCCCCTATACATGTCTCGTTTATGTGTACGTGTGTATTTGTATGTGCGTGTCGTGTGTGCATGAGTAAATGTATCGTGTAAAAATTTGTTTACGGTTTAAATTGGTCAAATTTTTTGAATAAAATTAAAAAGAGTATACGTTTGCGGTATATGTGTGGAGAAGAAAAGAAAAACTATATATAGAGATTGTTGTTTTTGCTTTCCCATTCTATATTGGCAAAAAAGCAATAAAAGAGAAACCGCGTCAGAGACTTTTAGCCAACATTGTCGTGAAACTTTTATTGTAACAGATAATGATCATGTTGAGGTAGGTGGGCGAATATGTAGATAGATAAATATATATCGTGTATCCGTTTTAAGTAGATGAGTTCTTCTGTTTGAAAAATGAAATCAACATCAATGCTTTATCAAAAAAGCCTCTTGCTTTTCCTTTACTATGTTACTTTTCTTTCAGTTCCATCCGCAACCCTGAAATTCTTGAGAGCATTTCGATTATCCGATCAATTGTCCGTTCGCTTACGAATCTTTTAATTAATTTTTGTGTTTTATTCTTCATTTATTTGTTTTGTTCTTTTATGCTTTATTGTGTTTCTTCTCTCTTGTTATTCTTGTTCACAGTGCTTCAACATCAAAGATATTAATAAGCGGCATACCGCTGCAAACACGTTTCGAAGACATCGAACCTCTTTTGAAGCCATATGGCATCGTCAAACAGTGTGAGGCTGTCTCTAGTAAGGATCCGCAAACTCAAACTGTTCACATAACATTCGAGAATAATGAACAGGCTCAAAGGTATATAACACAACAAGTAAAAATTTCCATAAGCTCAAAATTTTAAAATTTAGGAGAAAACCACATAAGACCCAAACCACCTAAAAAATAATATGAACATTCATTTAGAAATTGAGTAAAAACTTTTGGCCAAAGATATCCAAAATTATTGACAATAATTTTTCTAAATAAAAACAAAGCTTTTTTAAAAGTAAAAATCAATAAAATCTTCTTTTCCATTATAGAGCTGCTGGTGGTCTGAACGGTGTAGAATTTGAAGGCAATAAATTGCACGCCGAACCTTTGGATAAGAATCAACGTCGCACTCAACGTAATCAACGCAACCCATATCCCGGTATGCCTGGTCCCGGTCGCCAAGCCGACTTCCCTTTGCGCATACTGGTGCAAAGTGAAATGGTCGGTGCCATTATAGGACGTCAGGGTAGCACCATACGTACGATAACACAACAATCGCGCGCCCGTGTTGATGTTCATCGTAAAGAAAACGTTGGTTCTCTGGAGAAAGCCATCACTATATATGGCAATCCCGAAAACTGTACAAATGCATGCAAGCGCATATTAGAAGTAATGCAACAAGAAGCAAATGCCACGAATAAGGGGTAAGTGGAAAACGACCAGTAAACTGAATACAACGATTGAACTCGCCAGAACGGTGTGTAGTGTCTTTCATTCATAAGCTCTAAATTTTAATCATTTGTAAAATTGCGGGAAATTTCAAAAAGTTTCAAAGCTTGTAAGTTTTCTAAATCGAGAATCAAAATAATACTGCCCATAACAGCGAACAGTGCATAATGAATTTCGCTGACATATTGGTTGAAATCGTTTTTAGAGAGCTATAAAAATTAGCCACCAAACCGCGCAACAAATTTTTTTATAATATTTACAATTTTCAAAACTTATAGTATGACCATTAATGTCATTGTAACGATACATCAATAAAATCGTAAAATGATGTAAGCAATCAACGAGCGCTTTAAGAATAGTATTTGGTAGACATGTAGTTTTAGTTTATTACCGCATATCAAAGTTGAGAGTAACCAAACCGTAAATAAAAGAAAGGAAAAGTTAGAACCACTTCGAAATAAATCAAAATTATGTCAATTAAAGCGCAAATATATATACCCGCATTGTGATACCAATATTTGCTTTTTGGAGTCGCAGAAAAATATTGCGTAAGAACAGTCTCGTCCGACCTCACGCATTTAAATAATGCGAAAAAAGAAAGATACGTGTTTCAGACTTATGATAAAGCGAATGTAGCACTTTTTCCTTAGTTTTACATAGAATATCTTTTCATTTCCTCTCTTAGCGAAATTTGCCTAAAAATACTGGCACACAACAATTTAATTGGTCGCATTATTGGAAAAAGTGGCAACACCATTAAGCGCATTATGCAAGAGACAGATACCAAAATAACAGTTAGTTCCATTAATGATATAAGCAGCTTCAATTTGGAGCGCATAATAACGGTTAAAGGACAAATTGATAATATGTCACGGGCTGAAAATCAAATCAGTTCGAAGTTGCGGCAGAGCTATGAAAATGATTTACAAGCAATGGCACCGCAAAGCGTTATGTTTCCTGGTTTACACCCAATGGCCATGATGTCTACACCGGGTAACGGTATGGTATTTAATCCTAGTATGCCTTACGCAACCTGCCCCGGTTTTCCAATGTCGAAAGCAACAACTACGGTTGTACCCCCAGTTTTTTCTAATGACATGCAAGAAACTACGTATCTATATATACCGAATAATGCTGTGGGGGCCATAATCGGAACAAAAGGCTCACATATACGTAGTATAATGCGCTTCTCGAATGCTTCGTTGAAAATTGCACCGCTGGATAGTGATAAGCCACTGGAACAGCAAACTGAACGTAAAGTAACAATTGTAGGTACACCGGAAGGGCAGTGGAAGGCGCAATATATGATATTTGAGAAAATGCGTGAAGAAGGTTTCATGTGTGGCACAGATGATGTGCGATTGACGGTAGAAATTTTAGTGGCCAGCTCGCAAGTGAGTAATAAGTTCAAACTAGAAATAGAAAGAAATGAAAATATACTTAATTATTTATCTTTCCTTCGTGTTTTGCTTGCAATAGGTGGGACGTATTATTGGTAAAGGAGGACAAAATGTACGCGAACTGCAACGCGTTACTGGTAGTGTGATCAAATTGCCCGAACATGCGCTGGCGCCAGCATCGGGTGGTGATGAAGAAACACCTGTACACATAATTGGTCCATTTTACAGTGTACAGGTGAGGTTTAAAATTTATATGAAATTAAAAAGAATACAAATGAGAACTGAATATAAGTAATCCTAGGTTAATTTGAAAAATAATATATAAAAGCGTACAATGTTTTTTCAAGTTAATTTTTGTTTTAAGTTTTAAAACAGAAAACTAATAAATAAATTATTTCAATTCCATTTATGCCATACAGTCTGCTCAGCGGCGTATCAGAGCCATGATGTTGTCTACCAATCCTCCGCCGGTGACCAAAAAACAAAAAGCTGCCAAAGAACAACAACAACAACAACAACAACAACAACAGCTAGCAGCTGCAGCAGCTGCCGCTACCGCTGCTGTAGCAACAACACAACAGCAGCAGCAACAACAACAACAATCACAACAACAACCACAGCTAACAACGCAGCAGCAACAACAACAGGGTGCGAGTTCAAGTCAGTAAGAAAGCAACGTGTGTATGTGTGTGTGTTAAAGCATTTACTACTAAACCCTAATTTTTTTTTTTATATATCATTTCATTAATATTAAAATACCTTTTGTTTAAACTTATAACTACAACAAGAACAAAACAAATTTTATAAGGTGAAACAAAAAACACAACCATACCACGCTCTCGTTGTTCTCACATTATGCAGTAAGAAGTAATGCCTATAATCACTTCCGTCAACCTCGTCTGCTTTCATTTTTGATTTTGTTTTGTACGCATCATAAAGTCCTCGACATATTTCCACGAAGCCGCCCCAAACACTACCTCTAAAAATCCCCACCACTCCACTTTTATAGCTACCTAAAGCTAGTTAACACCCCACACAACACCGCTTAGATATGGCGTGTGTCTGTGTTACCTTTTGTTTCTTTCGTTTACATACAAAAAATTTTCCTATACTTTAAAAAAAAAAAAAAAAAAAAAAAAAAAAAAAAAATTTCAACATTCTTTTATATTATCTGAGGAGGTAAATTTTTGGAAAAGCTATAAAAATAAAAACTAAATAATAACTAATGAACAACAAAATTCTGATGAATCGTGAAAATTGAAATTCTAAAAATCTAACAAAAATAAAATGACAGCACTGAGTTATAAAATAAATAAAAAATAATAGTAATACTATGGGCAGCCGTTTAATGATAAATAGTAAGCTAAACGAGAATAGCTTCAATTAATAACAAAAAACTATGATTTAAAAAAATCTAAATATTCGTAAAACTATGCATTTAAAATTCTTAAAGATATAAGTTAAAGGAAAAACACTAAGTAAGATCACTGGAAACCAATTTTTCGTTTGCTTAAAAAAATCAAATTACAAGGATAGCGAAGTCTCTTTCCTTTTTAATAAAAATTAAATAATACATACCCAAAAATATAATTTTTTAAACTTTAAAAATATAACATCTCATATATTTTTTAAGAAGGAATTTTTCTTTTACAAATACTAAGAAATGTAACGTGCGAATGGCTTACATTTTCAAGTTAGAAGGCTTCTTATAGGCCGAAGGTTTCACGCATCTCTGTACTATAGGAATAACTGAACTTATTTTCCTTAAATAAATTTCGATCATGTTCAAAAAATCTGCAGACTACTTTTGAAAGCCCTGCTGTTATAAAAACAAAAATTCCAACCTCACCATGTAACCATTTGCAAGAAAAAAAAAACCATCAAAAATACTAGGATTGTTCACCATCGTTCAAAATTTGATGGAAACTTTTCTGCAACAATACGATCCTAAAGATTATGTACAATTTTCTGAAATACAAACATAAAGTTGCATATATTGTTGGTCAGCAAAAAGTTTAAAGTCGAAATAGGCGTGTCCGCGGGTCACCTCTCGATGTTGAAATCCTCTACGCGGACCTTGAAAATTGAAATAGAATATGGAATTTTTGCGTATATAATTTTAATCAGCGGAACTTTGCGAAACTTTAAAGTTGACGTAATCGGCCCAGCATTAGGCAGAAAACTAGCCCACGACATGCGTCGGATATTAAATTAAAGGTTCGTACAAATATTTATCACGATATTTAAAAGTAAAATATTTTGCAATTCGCGTACGTCGATGTTAGACGTGAAAAGTGTGGAAATATTAAATATAAAAAAAATGAATACAACTTCTTTTCTTTTAATTCATTTTTCAAGCGAAAATCGAAAGATAAACATTATAACAGCCAAATTTTTTTCTTTTTTTGTAAAGTGCCACTCATATAGCGATAATAAATTTTGTAGCTGTTCCCTACTATTATTTTCAATCCTAGGGAGATGCGGCCTTGTTGATATACTTCGACACCTAAAAGTTTTATACAGGATAACAGAATTTACGAAAGTTCGATAAATGAAAAAAAAACGTCCTCGAAATTTCTCATTTCGGTTTTTTAACTAAAATAGTCACGAAAATTGTCAAAATTTGAGTAAAGAATAGACTTAATTTTTCAGAAAAGTAATTCAATTCCGTATTCATAATTTGAAAGTTTCATAAAATTGAAAATGTAATAAGAAATTTATGGTAGAGGTGTAATTTGTCAATAAAGCAAACTATTTTCGACAAAAAGCAAAAGGATAAATAAATAAATAATAAGCGAAGTTTTTAAAGACAATTTGAAAAAAAATTTAATATTTCAATAAATAAATATTCGCAAGTAAAATAATTATAAAGACATTTATACAAATATACAAATAAGTGATGCAAAAGTAAGATGAATAATATGGAAAAAATAAAGAAATTTAAAAAAAAAACATGAAAAAATGACCAAAACATGAATATTTGCAAATCGAAAGCTGTTCAACCAATTTTATAGCTACTATTCTTATGTTTTCCTTCCTTCATGCCGATCAACTAAATTTTAAAATTTAAAGATTTAAAGTAAATAGAATTATAAAGAGAAAGAAAAAAAACGTTTGCCTTAAAACGGTGCTGAAATGCTAATTGATTTAATGTTTTAATGAAATATAAAAATTTATTTATAATTCTTTTTTTTTTTGGAAGCTTTTCCTGTAAAATATTATTAAACGTTAGTTACTAAAGGATTATACAATAGCAACTAAAGAAGAATATATAAACTTAATATTTACCTATACCTGTACTCCAAGCAATAGATCCACCAAAAAAGAGAAATTTCTGGTTATTCCGAAAATTTCTGAAACAAAAACTAAATAAGAAAGAGCAGCAAACAATCAAACCTTTTTTAATATACTATTCAATAGACTTGTTTATATATATAACTCTTTTTAACTTTTTTTAAATAATGTTTATAGTTTCCGTTGTTTAACTTTATTTAATTAAAAACTGTTTTTTTTATAAAAAGGGTCTTTTTAAGTCAACATAAATTTGTTTTAAATATTACAACTACATTTCGGCATAAAATATCTTAAAAAATATTTTAAAAAACCGTTTCTTGGCGCAATCGTTTTAAAGTTAAGTGAAAAATGTCTGGAAAAGCCTAAACAGCAAAATATTCACATATATATATATATATAAACATACATAAACATATATACACACATAAATATATGTATTCTAAAGTCGCGTTCTAATGAAATCTATATATGAAGCATATATATATATATATATATATATATATATACGTGTGTGTGCTAATGTGCGTTTCCTAAAATCGTCTCTTGAAATTAAAACATAGATTTTCATAAAATTGTAGTTTAAAAACAAGCTGAAAAAATTCATAGGTAATCAATAAAAAATGTAATTAAATACCTCATTGTAAGTGCATTATCTTATTAAAAAATAATACAAAAACGTAAACAAAATCAATAACGAAAAAAAAAGCTAACCAAAAAGCTTAAATTTATAAAAACGACAAAATGCTATTAAAAGACATTTAAAAACACTCGTTAAAAAAAGGAAAAAAATCAGAAGTAAAGAGCCTAATTATATGGATCATATTTAATCAAGATCTTTAAAAGAAAATCATATCATTCAGACAATTTCATAATATTATATGTTTACAATGAGCGATCGCTTACTACAACCGATAAAACCAAAGCCATCTCAGCTACTCTCATGCATTCACGCACCTACCTCTGCCTCTCTCTCTCACTGTCTCTCTTCTCTTCTCTCTTCTCTCTAACTGTTCAATACTAGCATTTGTCATATATTTTACTATATCAATCAGTGGGATTTCTGCTTAGAATTTCTTAAGAGGATTTCAACTTTTCTCCTTTCCTTGACATCTCTTTTTTGTTCATTAAAGTTTAGTTAAGCTAAAGTTTAGCTTAAGATTTGAAATTCATATATATGATTTTTTTTTTTTATCAATAAATGTGTTCAAAATTTCTTTATTGTTTCAATAAAAAAAATGTTGTGTTTGATTTCCTAAAATATATACCAAATAGGTTTCCTTTTTTAAAACGCATAGATAAGTCTTCGTAAGGCGGGCGAATCTCCAAACTTTTGCATATATTATTAACTATTTTCTTAATCTAAAATTATTTATATATGTTTTTTAATTTAAATATTTTGCAGGTTGTTTTTATCTAAAATCTTTGTTCAGACCTATGAGAAACGTCCGCAGTATGAATGAATGAACAAATCAAAGTGCCTGAAAGTAGTTCGCGAATGAAGTCGTCGATGTCGCATAACTCGATCCAGTTGATTTTCAATATATTTGTTGTCAGATTTTCGAGAACTTAAGGAAATCCTCCAAAAGCTTTTTTGAAATAATTTATAATTTGTTGAATTAGACCAAAGTATTGCAATCAATTTTCAACAAGTTGTGTGATACGATTGTGCTACTTTTTGTACGTGGGATAATTGTGGGCCTAGCGCTATGGTTTTTTTGTAGGTTAAATACTTGTGTTGTACTTTACGCAACGTTATTTCACTCTAAAACGAATAGTCGTCTAATCGCCGCTCTGACGGAAAATCCAATTTCTAAACAAGGCAAATATTTCGTGATAGCCGACAGTTCCACTCATCCAATAACAAGAAGAAATCATATTTCAAAGCGGAGGATTTTTGATTTTAGTGTCAAGGGTAAATATGGTCTTGGCTCTTAGTGCAAGAGTATACCATTATCTTTGATCTGCCTTTGTTTATTTTATGGTTAATTGAGCCTTTAATTTAGATATAAGTCAGTTATTGTTTTGATCTTACATTAAAATGAAAAAGCTTTTATTCTGTGATAGATGGGTATTGTATTCTATGAAGGGTCACTGTTGCCGAAAATATTGCCTATCCGATATCTGTAATTAGTTTTTTCTTTCACTTCTTACCTCATTTATTAGATGTCCTGCAATATATTTGCGAATTATATTGACAAATGTAATATTTTTTCTGTTTTCTTATTTGTTTTCGTTAAATTTTTACGAAAATATTTCATAATCAGAAAATTCTACTTGAGTAAAGGTCTTTGGAGAATTCACTTTTACAGTTCTCCTATGATGAATAGACTACCTCCTATAATTACTTTCTTAAACTGCACATTATTATCGCTTAACACTTTGATTAAGCGTTGATTCTTCTGTTTTAGTAGTTTGAATTTGAGAGAAGCAAAAATGATGGTTAAATTAAGCAAAACTTAACGTAAGCAATTTTTAATATGAGACTATTCAACTTGTATGATATGATCAATAATTAAATCAATAATTATTAGTATCACACACACACACACAAACACACGCGCGCGCGCACGCACGCACGCACACCCCCACACACACACACAAACACACACACACCAAACAGCAATTGTAAAAAACGTATGAAACACAAACCAGATTTGTACTACGTGTAACTCGTTTTACTGTCATCGGTAAGACAAACCAAGCAAAAACAGAGATAACAAAAAATAATAATAAAACTTTTAAAATGCCAATCAATAAATAAGCCCATGAAGCGCATGGATAAAAAGAATAAAAGTTAACTGTTGTTACTGGAATGAATTAACAACAAGAACAACAAGAAACTACAACAACAGCAACCACCTAACTATTATACGTGTTACAATATATTAACAAAACGAGAAAATACTATTAAAACAAGCTTAAGATAAACTTAAGAACAAAAACGACCACAAAATATTAATAACAAATTTGAAAGGTCCAAAAATTTACCTAAAAGATTTTTTTTATCGTTACTACGAAATACAAGGAAAGCAAGAGAAATAAGCAGTTTAGTTTTTTAAATTAAAAACAAGTACATAAGAAAAAATCAAACCAACCAAGTCAATAAGGATTAAGAAGAAAAGCGCAAGAGACAAAATACGTTTTATTCTTATCTGTATAAATATAAGAAAAAACAATAAGTAAGTTTTAAATAGAAAGCCAACCGCAACTATCCTTTGGTATGTATGTAACGATTATTTACGAAGCCTTCTACGACTTGCACTAACGCATATATATGTATTCTTGGT